AATTGGGATTCGGGATTCGGGACTTCGGGATTCGGGATTCGGGGCTCTCGGACAGCCAGTCCCGAATCCCGAATCCCGAATCCCAAATCCCGAATCCCGAATCCCAACTCCGGGCCGTTGAGGACCCAGGCACCCAATCCCAAATCCCGAATCCCGAATCCCGAATCTCGAATCCCGAATCTCAACTCCGGGCCGCTGAGGACCCAGGCACCCAATCCCGAATCCCGAATCCCGAATCCCGAATCCCGAATCCCAACTCCGGGCCGTTGAGGACCCAGGCACCCAATCCCGAATCGAGGGCTCGGAATGGGAATTCGGGATTCGGGATTCGGGATTCGGGATTCGGGATTCGGGACTCGGGATTGGGTGCCTGGGTCCTCAACGGCCCGGAATTGGGATTCGGGACTCGGGAATTCGGGATTCGGGATTCGGGATTCGGGATTCGGGATTGGGTGCCTGGGTCCTCAACGGCCCGGAGTTGGGATTCGGGATTCGGGATTCGGGATTCGGGATTCGGGATTCGGGATTCGGGATTCGGGATTCGGGATTGGGTGCCTGGGTCCTCAGCGGCCCGGAGTTGGGATTCGGGATTCGGGATTCGGGATTCGGGATTCGGGTCCCCAATCACATTCTCCGGGAGCTTCTCCGGATCACGTCTCGATAGATAGATAGATAGATAGATAGATAGATAGATAGATAGATAGATGGAGAGATAGAGAACTTTATTAATTAAATGTAATATGGTTATAATTTTATCAAAGGAAGTTTACGTGTTACGAGAACTTCGCGTTGCCGGAGAGGCGAAATCTAGCTTGTTCGCGGCGTCTGGTCGGAGCATGCTCGGAACAGCTTCGGACGGGTGCGGACGGGTGCGGACGCCGGGCCCATTGGCACGGCAACGCGAAGGTTTCGCAGGGTTTGAATTGCGTGGCAGGTGCAGCACTTTCGCAAGGTGAGGCAGGTCAAGTTTCCCCAAGGGTTGAATTGCGAGGCAGGCGCAGCACTTTCGCAAGGTGAGGTACAGATTCGTGACAAGCGCAGCACAGGCGAGGTACAGATTTCGTGGCAGGCGCAGCACGTTCGCAAAGTCAAGTACATATTTCGTGGCAGGCGCAGCACTTTCGCAAGGCCAAGTACAGATTTTGTGGCAGGGGCAGCATCTTCGAAAGGTCAAGTACAGATTTCGTGGCAGGCGCGGCACTTTCGCAAGGTGAAGTGCAGAGTTCGTGGCAGGGGCATCACTTTCGCAAGGTCAATCACAGATTTCGTGGCAGGGGCAGCACTTTCGCAAGGTCAAGTACAGATTTCGTGGCAGGCGCAGCGCTTTGCAAGGTTAGGCGCGGGTGGAGAGAGAATAGACTGATAGATAGGTAAAAATAGATAGACTGATTGGTAGGTAGATAGATAAAAGAGAGATAGACAGATAGATAGATAGATACATAGATAGATTAATAGAGAGATAGATAGATAGCTAGATAAAAAGAGAGGTAGATAGGTAAAAAGAGGGATGGATAGATAGCTGGATAGATCGATAGTTAGATAAAGAGGTAGACAGACAAAGAGTTAGATAGATAGATAGATAGATAGGTAGATAGAAAGAGAGATAAATAGATAGATAAATAGAAAGAGAGATAGATAGATAGACAGATAGATAGATAAACAAAAAGAGAGAAAGATAGTCAGATAGATAGACTGATTGATGGATAGATAGATCAAGAGGGAGAGAGAGAGATGGATAGATAGAGAGCAAGAGAGATAGATGGATGGATAGATAGATAGATAGATAGACAGCCAGACAGAGATAGGTAGATAGATGGATAGATAGATAAAAAGGGAGATGGGTAGATAGATAGATAGATCGATAAAAAGAGCGAAAGAAAGAAATGAAGGCAGATAGATACAAAGAGAGAGAGATAGATAAAAAGAGAGAAAGAAAGATAGGTAGATAGACAGATCTAGATAGATAGATAGATAGATAGAAGGCAGATAGATAGATAGGTAGAAAGATAGATAGATAGCTAGATGGATAAAAAGACAGGCAAATAGATACATCAAAGGGAGATTGATAGATGTAAAGATCGATAGATTGACAGAGAGATGAATAGAAACATAGAGATATATATATATAGATAGAGAGATAGATAGATCAAAGGGTAGATAGATAGATAGATAGAGAGACGCAGAGAGGGAGCATAGATAGATAAATAGACAGAGAAAGAGATAGATAGATAGTTAGAGCAGATCCGTAGAATGAGAGAAAGGAACAATGAACGATGACTAAGAGCAAGAAGAGAAAAGAATGTCAAGAAAAGAAAGAGGAACAGAACTATAGTTTTTGTATTTTGAAACTTCCGCCCACCGGCTTCGCCGCTCTACTGGTAGGTCCCTGGATCCATTCCACACCATGATCGCAGTGTCAATGGTGATGGAGTGTATCTGGAACTCCCTGGTAAGCGTGCTTGTAAAGCGGTCCGCAATGGCTTCCTGTTCTAGCCACTGCGTCACACGAGTAGTCTGGTGCACAAGATGGGCCTTGAGCCAAAATGGCTGCATGGACTGGATCTGCGTGGGGATGTTGACGGGCTAGTGAAAAATACGTACAGTTCGTGAGAAAATGCGGTAAACGAAAAGAAAGAAATTCCCAAAACTAAAATCTCAAATTAAACCAACAAACGCACCTTTGCGAGGGGATCGTGCGTGTCGGATCGCTCTTGCTGTGGCGCCGTGCGAATGTGTCTTGATCTCGGCAAACCCTGTGCGGAGATCGTGCGGGGATGGTTCATGTCGGATCGCTCTCGCTGTGGCGTTGTGGCGCCGTGCGAATGTGTCTGGACCTCGGCGAACCATCAGCGGGGATCGTGCTTTCAGATCGCTCTCGCTGTGGCGTCGTGCGACTGTGTCTTGATCTCGGCGAACCCTATGCGGGGTTGCGTGTGTCTGTTGGATCGCTCCCGCCGTCGCGCCGTGCAAATTTGCTTTGACCTCGGCGAACCCTATGCGGAGATCGTGCGCGTCGGACCGCGAATTTGTCTATAGCGCAGCGAACCCTCTGCGGGGATCGTGCGCGTCGGATCGCTCTTGCTGTGGCGCCGTGCGAATGTGTCTTGATCTCGGCAAACCCTGTGCGGAGATCGTGCGGGGATGGTGCATGTCGGATCGCTCTCGCTGTGGCGTTGTGGCGCCGTGCGAATGTGTCTGGACCTCGGCGAACCATCAGCGGGGATCGTGCGTGCAGATCGCTCTCGATGTGGCGCCGTGCGACTGTGTCTTGATCTCGGCGAACCCTATGCGTGTGTTGGATTGCTCCCGCCGTCGCGCCGTGCAAATCTGCCTTGACCTCGGCGAACCCTATGCGGAGATCGTGCGCGTCGGACCGCGAATTTGTCTTTAGCGCAGCGAACCCTCTGCGGGGATCGTGCACGTCGGATCGCTCTCGCTGTGGCGCCGTGCGCATGTGTTCTGAGCGCGGCGAACCCTCTGCGTTCTCGCTGTGGCGCGTGCGAGTGTGTCTTGACCCCGGAAAACCCTCTGCGGAGATCGTGCGTGTTGCGGCGCTTTGGACGTTGTCTCGTGGTTGCGCGCCTTCAAAGCAGCGGTCGCGGGCTTGCTTCCCCCTTGGTCCGCGGCAGCTCCGGCGCGAAAATCAAGATCTTTCAAGTGCGATCTCTGTCTGCCCCCAGAGCTGGCTGCAAATCGCACATTTCGAGTACAAGTAGCGCGCGAATTCCCGCAGCTCCGGCTGAAATCGCATGTTGCAGGTGCGCTAGCAGTACGCGAAGAGCTTCTCGCTCTTTTTGAGTACAGACTTTTCACGCGAAGCGCATTCCCGTGGCTCTGTTTCAAGGATAGCGATTTCAAATTGCAAAGTAGCGCGCGAAGAGGCTGCAAAATCGCAACCTTCGAGTGCAAAAGCAGTACGCGAAGCGTATTCCCCCAGCTCCGGCTCGAGAATCCCAATTTTTAAGTACACAAGTAGCACGCGAAGCGCCTTCTTCTAAAACAGCTGCAATCTTCACCTGCCAACTTGCCATGCCAACTCGTCGAGAGTTACTTCCCCTACCGGCTTCTCGTGCCAACTTTTCGAGTTACGTCACCTGCCAGCTTCTCTTGCCAGCTTTTCGAGAGTTACTTTACCTGCCAACTTCGCCAGCCAACTTTTCGAGAGTTACTTTACCTGCCAGCTTCTCCTTCAGCTGCTTGGAGAACTACTTCACCTGCCAGCTTCTCGAGACTTACTTCACCTGCCAACCTCTCACGCCAACTTATCGAGAGTCACTTCATGACAACCTCTCGCGCCAACTTGTCGAGGGTTACTTCACCTGCCACACTTCTCGTGCCAACTCTTCGAGAGTTACTTCACCTCTGCCAACTTTCCGAGACTGACTTCGCCTTCCAGCTTCTCATGCCAACGTTTTGAGAATCGCTTCACTTGCCAACTTCTCTCCAACTTTTCGAGAATTAGTTCAGCTGCCAACTTCGCCTGCCAACTTTTCAGGAGTTACTTCACCTGCCAACTTCGCATGCCAACTTGTTGAGAGTTAATTACCCGCCGACTTCGCCTGCCAGTTTTTCAAGACTTATTTATCCTGATGCCAAGTTTTCGAGAGTTACTTCGCAGAGCATCAACTTGCCTCTATGCTTCCGGGCCACTCATCATCGAGGTTGAGAGTGTCCGTTTTAAGAGCGTCGAACCGCGAGCTGCCGATGCAATTCAGCCAGAAACTGGGCGTAATGTCAACCTCTGATTAATACACCCACCAGTTTTTTGCTGAGGGATTTGGTTCCAGGTGAGTGGGTGGGAGGGTAGCGCAAGCTGCATGAAGAAAGATGCTCACTCGGCTCGGCTGCATCTTGTTGCGGCTTCCATGCCATCTGTTGAGGTGACCTCAAAGCCTTAGGGTCAATTTGGGAGGGGCGTGCGGGGACTCGCAAGATTTCCAACACGCATTGTTCATGTCCTTCCGGCTAACCATGGCCAACTGGACGCGTGGCGGACATAGGATTCTCCCTCATCGTGTCGCGAGACCAGTTGCGCGCGAAGACGGAGCTGCGGTCTCATCAGACGCAGGGCTACCGCATGGTAAAGGACCTTGCGGCCAGGCTTTGGCTTGAATGTCCTCCCAAGTGGTTGCCGACCATATTCCCAATGTAAATGATGTGCAATAGGTTCCCGCTTGAGTTGCCTACTTTTCCTGAATGCGTAGCGAAGGGTAGTCTGGGGGTCTGGGGGCTGGACCCTTGTTCGTGTCGTGTTGGTCGTGTCGTCGCGGTGTCGTCGCGGTGTGGTCGTCGCAGGGCCCAAAATTCAATTTCAGTGGGGGTGCGCAGAACGCGCGAGTTTGACGACTTGCGAGGTGCTGTTTTCGTTGGCCCTGTGCGTGAATCGTAGCTTCTCTTGCTCGACGTTTCGTTTCGCTGCGCAGGCGCAGTGTTTCGTGAAGCTTCACGTTTGCATTGCAAATGCAGTGGGATTCGCGTTTCCCGGGGTCTCGTTTTGAGGTGTTTTGCTTGGAATGCTCGCGCAAGCGTTTGCTGGAGTGTTGTTTTCGTTGACCCTGTCGTACAATCGGCTAGTTTTGGTCTGCGTCAATTTAGCACTTCTCGCGGGAATGCAAAGTGAACCCTCTGCGCACTTTGGGTGGGTCGAATCGCTCTCGCTGTGGCGCGGTGCATTTGTTGAAAATGCAAAGCGAACCCTCTACGCACTTCGGGTGGTTCGAGTCGCTCTCGCTGTGGCGAGGTGCACGTTTTGCAAATGCAAAGTGAATGCAAAGCGAACCCTCTGCGCACTTTGGGTGGGTCGAATCGCTCTCGTTGTGGCGCAGTGCGCGTTTTGAAAATGCAAAGTGAGTCTTCTGCGCACTTTGGGGCTCTCGCTGTGGAGCGGTGCACATGTTGAAAATGGAAAGTGAACCCTCTGCGCGCTTTGGGTGGGTCGAATCGCTCTCGCTGTAGCGCGGTGCATTTTTTGAAAACGCAAAGTGAGCCCTCTGCGCACATTGGGTGGGTCGAATCGCTCTCGCTCTGGCGCGATGCACATTTTGAAAATTCAAAGTGGGCCATCTGCACGCTTTGGCTGGGTTGAGTCGCTCTTGCTGTGGCGTGGCGCACATTTTGAAACTCTCTGCGCACTTTGGGTGGGTCGAATCACTGTTGCTGTGGCGCGGTGCACATTTTGAGACAAAAGACGTGGCGAGAGACCTTTCTCAGAAGTGTCGCTCAGAAGTGTCGACGAAAAGTGTCGATGAAAAGTGTTGCTCAGAGACTCAGAGGTGTTGCTCAGAACCGTCAATCAGAAGTGTTGCTCAGAAGTGTCGCTCAGAAGCATCAGACGTGTCGATCATCAAAAGTGTCGATCAGAAGTGGTGTCGTTCAGAAGTGTCGACCAGAAGTGTCGCTCATCTGTGTTGATCAGACGTGTCGATCAGAAGTGTCGATCGGACGTGTTGCTCAGAAGTGTCGCTCAGCAGTGTCGCTCAAGAATATCGGTCAGAAGTGTCGATCAGAAGTGTTGCTCAGCAGAGTCGATCAGAAGTGTCGCTCAGAAGTGTTGATCGGAACTGTTGCTCAGAAGTGTTGCTCAGCGTGTCGCTCAGAAGTGTAGAGGTGTTGCTCAGCAGTGTCAATCAGAAGTGTGGATCAGAAGTGTTGGTCAGAAGTGTTGCTCAGAACTGTCGGTCAGAAGTGTGGGATCAGAAGTGTGGATCAGAAGTGTCGCTCAGAAGTGACGATCGGAAGTCAGCAGTGTCGCTCAGAAATGTTGGTCAGAAGTGTCGACCAAGTGTTGCTCAGAGGTGTTGCTCAGCAGGGTGAATCAGAAGTGTGGATCCGAAGTGTTGCCCAGAAGTGTCCCTAAGAGCTAAGAAGTGTCGATGAGCAGTGTGGATCAGAAGTGTTGGTCAGAAGTGTTGCTCAGAACTGTCCGTCAGAAGTGTGGATCACAAGTGTGGATCAGAAGTGTCGCTCAGACATGTGAATCAGAAGTGTGGATGAGCAGTGTTGCTCAGAAAAGTCGATCAGAAGTGTGGATCAGAAGTGTGGATCAGAAGTGTGGCTCCGAATTGTTGATGAGAAAGGTTACTCAGAAGTGCTGATCAGCTGTGTCGATCAGAAGTGTTGCTCAGAAGTGTCGCTCAGAAGTGTGAATCAGAAGTGTTGCTCGAAATTCTCGCTTAGAAGTTTCGATCAGAAGTGTTGCTCAGAAGTGTCGATCAGAAGGGTGTCGCTCAGAGGTGTGATTAAAAGTTTAGCTCAGGGGTATCGCTCATTGCTCAGAGGCGTCGCTCAGTTAGAATTGCTCGAGTTGTCGGTCAGCAGTGCCGCTCAAAGTGTCGCTGATGTGTGTGTGTGTGTGCAAATGTGGCTGAAGTGTCGCCCAGAGGTGTTTTCAGAAGTGTTGCTCAGGAGTGCCGCTCAGTGTTGCTCAGAAGTGTGGTGTCGCTAAGAAGTGTCGCTGGGGAGTGTCGCGCACAAGTGTCTCTCAGATATGTGTGTACAATTGTGTCGCGTACATGTGTATGTGTGTTTGCTCAGAAGTGTCGCTCAGAAGTGTCAATCAACAGTGTCGCTCAGGGGTATCGCTCATTGCTCAGAGGCGTCGCTCAGAAGTGTCGCTTAGCAGCGTCGCTCAGAAGCGTCGCTCAAAGGCGTTGCTTTAACATGTGTGCAGAAATGTCGCCCGAATTGTCGCAACTTTGTAGCACAAGTCTAGTCAGGTTTCCAGCTCCGGAAAATCGCAACTTTGCAGTGCAAATCTAGTACGCGAAGGAGAGGTGTCCGAGTTTATTTAGCGTCTTTCTATGCTTCCGGGCCACCCGTCGTCAAATTAAACCCACTACTATTTGGGGATAATTTCTTTTCCTCAGCTGAATGCTGCACCCACTTGCATGAACGTGTGTGCTCAGTCTGGCCAAGAAAGACCAGGATGAGATCATGAGCTTGGAGGAGCTGTTGGAAGCAGAGAAGGCTTCAAACACGAAGCCTGGTTCGGATCAAAGTGCACGAGGGGGGATCAGGATGATGGACGGGACCGATATGGCTGCTTTATTTAAGTCTTTTTTTTCACAAATTGTGGTGGGGCCAAAGTGTAGTTTTTTCCAGATGTGTGGGGAATCTTGAGCAAATCGCCAACTTTGCAGGGGGATCGGGCTTGAAGCCTTGAATCATTGAAACGTAGGTTGCCCAATGCGCCTGCCCCTTGCTTCATGTCACGGCCCACCCAAGGAGTTCGCTGTATTTCGGCCGAGTTATGGGGCCGCTGATCTTGTGGGCCGCCTTCTACTGCACCCAAGCTGCAACCTGATTCAGGGCCTCGGAAGCGGGTGGTTGACCCGGCAGACCCCCAAGAGAAATTGATTGGAGGTTCAGTCATGACAACACCGTACCCAATGAGGCTTCCTATCGCCCATCCTTTGGGTGATCGACAAGCCGCTTGGCTTCAAAGTGGTCAAGATGCAGGGGCAGGAAGATCGATTTGGATCAGCGCTTGACGTGGGTTGAACACCAAAAGAACGCTCGTCAAGACGAGGTTCGGCGACATGCTGGAACGCATCCCCTGCGTTGGTCCGTGCTGCGGAATGCTCGCCGATTTTCTGGAGACGTCGCTCGGCGCCGGAAGCTTCCCGCGCTTTGGGAAGCCCCATTTCAAGGACAATCTGGGCGGCTAAACTTTAAAGAGTTTTTGTGCTGGATGTGGTCCAAACTCTGTAATGCTGGCACCTGCTTTGGTCAACCGGGCGGGTGGGTAAATTGGGGGGAGATCCTCCAGTCAGTTTACCCTATGGTGGGTGCTTGTACCTGCAACCCACGCAATTTACAGCAATGTGCCAAGGAGAGGTTTGTGGTTGGACGTGGCTAGCTCGCCACAGAAACAGCTGTTCCCCTACAGAAAAAAGTGGGTACCAACTTCCGCAAACCTCAAACTACTGGAAGACCTAGTCTAAGGTTATTCGTATCGCCTAAACGGGAGGCGTGGGATCTGCGCTTGCGAGCCGGGGAGGTTCCCCATTCAAATAAACCAAGCAGAAAAAGTGGGTACCAACTTCTTCGAAGACCTCGTCTAAGGTTATTGCTCCTGTTCTGGGGGGCGAGTCATTCTGAGAAAGCGGGAGTACGGCTGTGAGTCAAGGAAAGGCTTCCCTGGTAGCAATGGTGAAGAAGTGGCATGGACTCGCAGCCATGGTACAGTTTAGATTTGTTCCTATTGGAGCGCAACACTGCTCACATGTCCATTTGGTCCTTTACCTCTTCAATACATATTTTACCTTCTGCGCCAGGGACCTACGAGGTGTATTCTGGATGCTTGGGACCCCCGAACGCAGGATGTCGGGTGAAGAGGACTTTTATGGAGCAGAAACACCCGCAGAGGCGTGAGTAGACCATCAACTTTTTCGATGAATGCAAAAAATGCATCCATCGTATGACGGCCTTGTTAATTGGTTTCGGTATGAAGATCTGGTGTGGGATTGGGTTACATTCACGGTTGTAGAACCCTCGAGACAAGTCGAGGACGCAGCGACATGCCCATTTACAGCCAAAAAGGATGCCAGACAGAGACAAGAGCACTATCTTCAATCGAAGACAGCTGGCGAATCAAGGCAACATCGCCAAGGACAACTCCAGGGTTGTGGACAGGACCCACGATCTTCAAGTTCTCTGACAAACCACTTACAGCAGGGCAAATTTTTCATTCACAAGCCAGCAGACAGGCAACAGAGCCACGAGTAACACTTGCACTTGCACTCAGACACATACACACGACTCTCAAAACCAGAAGAGCTAAAGTAACACTTCCACTTGCACTCAGACACATACACACGACTCTCAAAATCAGAAGAGCCAAAGAACTTCACCTGCAACCTCGCCATATGTCAGGAGAACAGGTCCGATTCAGGACCGGCGCGTTGCACTTACCGAAGGAGATCTACGATCCCTGCGGCAAGACTCGATCACAATGCGAACCTTGTCAGAAGGCTGCCATAGCACAGTCACGTAGCAAGACCAGTGGCCTCAGAACAGAAACATTCGGCGAGTCTTCAATGTTCTAGTGATCCTTGATGGAGCCACAACACTTCCAACCACAGAAGTGGAAGAGAGAACAAACTGATGTCACCAGTATTCCTTTGTCATAATCTACAAGCAACTTGTGAAGGCAGCAGCAGCCGAAGAAACCTCTCCGTGACATACGGAGGAGTCACTGCATGAGAGCTGGCGTTCGGACGCAGGCTTCTTGAATTGGACACAGCTACACCATCCCAACTCACTATTCCAAAGACGGAAGGGTTGACTGCTGGACAGATTCGACTACAACGTATCAAGAGGCCCGACAATCTGAAGATGTCCGGCGAGACCTCGCGCAGCATCTGCGCCTCAGCTCAAAGCCAATCGTACTTGGCGACAGAGTATTTTACCGGAGTGAGCATAAGTCCAAGATAGGAGAATGTGGCTAAAGGGTAAGATAATTTCAGAGATGGCATCACCAAGGTGAGGTCCAGACCTGGACTTGGCCTGCCATCCAATCTTCATACTGATCTAAAGGCCTACTAGAACAATCCAAGTCAGCAGAACGACCAGTCAAGCGAACGGCCAAAAAGACAACACTGGATCAACCAAGTTCCGCACAACCAGCAGCAGCTTCCTTTTCATGGGGCCAAGACGAGCCGAATGCAAGATCTTTGACAACGGAACATAACCGACGATGGGCTCAGGCGAAAGATGCAAGCAGGAAATTGTTATGCACCATCATTTGCCATTAGGATGACATTGTTGCTCTAATGTTCTGTCATGCTTGGTGGAAGTCTTTGCGCTGGCCTTTCACAGGTGTGTGGTCTTGGTTTTCGCCCATGTTCCGTGGATCACGAGAGAATAGGAATGGGCCGAGTGGTGTGAATTTGCGTTACTCGTTTGTCTTGTTGAGCGTCACGCACTTGGCTGTTCTCAAGCCTTGGCCAATGTGATCTATGAAAATACTCCTCAGCTGGATTATCCGCGTCCCTTATCCTTCTCTTTCTTGCGTTTCAACGCTGCCTCGGAGATGTTACTGTTCTCATGAGTAACATCCAGGTTTACGAGGGGAGGATGGTGCCAATCTGAATCACCTGACCTTTCAGATGGCATCTCCATGTTTGTTCGCTCCGGTTCGCCGGAATTTCTCACCATGATCCTTGGCACGGTGAATGTCTTTTCTACCTCTGCCGTGTACATATCAGAAGGTTCTCACCCGCCGAAAGTTGCGTGTCTCCGTGCTCGCCAGTGAAGTGGAACCGAATAATTGTAAGGGCTGCGGCACAAATATTCCAAGGTGCTACTTCTGCCTACTCCGTATATTTCAGGCTTAGGAGCCGATTAAAAGGCTCAATGGCGGTATTCTTTGAATCTGAGATGCCACGAGTGGAAAAGTTGTATCTGCTTTGTTTCTCGTTTTTGTTTTTGCGCTTCTCATTGCATACGTATTTTACTTTCTGCATTGGAGTAGATGCGGCCGCCAGGAACCTACAAGGTGTATTGTGGTGAAGCTTGAGACCCCCTATTTCCATGGTTCTGAGGCTGGTCAGCTTCCTCATTTGCGTCGTGAGTTGCTGCATGGGCCTGGCCTGTGGCCTGCTGGCCATGGCCATTGCCTGGATCTTCTGGAGGCATGGGGTTCCCCCAGTCTCCTTCTGTGCGGTCACACACAAGGAAGAGAGAGAGAGAGAGAGAGAGAGAGAGAGAGAGACAGAGAGGGACAGAGCGGGGGGAGTTCTATGCGGGGGGGGGGGGGGGAAATTGCAAATAGGGGGGGCCCCGGGGGGTGGCCTGTTGATGGTCCCCTGTTCTGGTTTTTATGTTAATCTCAAATCTGTGTTCCCCCTTATTCGTTTTGAAAAGGGTGTTTTTGGGGAGCTTATTCATCGTTTTCGTTAATAATTTGGCTAATTGTCCCCCTTGTTCATTGTTGGGCTGGGGGCCGACATTTTTTTATTTGAAAGAGGTAGCCCTTTTAGTAGTTTCAATGGTCTTGGGTGTTGGCGGTGTTTTTGTTTTGTTAGTATTTTCTCACTAATTTTCATTTATAGGTTAAAAGTTCAGTATAATTATAACATATAAGATTTTACATGTTATTATTATATTATGATTATAATTTCATTTCAGGATAATAATTTAATTGATTTGTCTTACTTCTTTCATACATCATTTTAAAAATAATATAAATATCTCTCACTGTATTTTGAACATTAAACTTTTTACTTTCAATAAATAATTTGACATTTTCTTTAACATCTTCTCCTTTCTCTTGACTATAACCAAACATCCATAATATATCATCAATCATTTCATATTTTTCTTACTGATTTTAAGAAACTGTTTAACATAATCGTAAGGTGTTATTTTATTTACAGTTAGAAATATTGAAGTCGCATCTTCTACATTTCTATTATGTCTTCTTTTGATTCCCAACACACATTTGATTAAAAATTGATTATCTCTCCAATTTTTACAATTTTTACATATGTCTTCTTCACCATCCATTGAATAGTTAATAATATTATTCACTATGTCACTACGTAAATTCAATTTATACAATTCCATATTTTCTTTTTTGAAGTGACAACAATCATAGCATTTTTTTATTGATATAACTATTGATTTCATCACCGTTCATTTTCCTCTTAATATATAAGGTAATATTTCTTTAAGAAGTTTTGGCTAGGGGTTGCTGGTCGGCTGGTCTGGGTTTCAGGTTTAATTTAAATGTCTTAACCTTCTTGTTAGATTATAAAAAGTTGTTTAATCATATTTTAGCTATAGGATAATATGAACAAGAGGGCAACAACAACCGTGAGGCCAACATGAGTGGTTAGTGCGAACTCACCTTGCACAAAGGGTAGTGTTGCAACCCTGCTGTTTCCATCAAAATGTCATGGCAACAGACCCCCTTGCACAGACCCCTCTGTTTCCAACTAATTTTGGCTGAAAATAGGCTCCAACAGTAGGTGTT